AAATGATAGAAGCAAAGTAAACTATAAGGTAAATTACATTATTTGTTGCTCGTGAATGTGCTAAAACGTAAATTTAGTACGTGGTTTTAAAAGTTAATTCGGATCATTCCTAATGTCATTAAAAGATCACTACTAGAAAAATAGCCTTTTACGACGCGCAAATTACGACACTCATTAATATATGTTACGCAAACGAGAGTGACATTAAAAAAGTGTCATCTCTTCAGAAAATTTAAGGATTTAGGTCACGCATTATTTCGTGCCTTTAAATTAGTGTCAAAAGAAAAAAAAAAATAAAAACACGGAGGGCGCTGTACCTTAAATGCGCGCCCTCTATATGTGTCGCTTTATAATTTTAATGAATGCGCGTTCCTTAGTTACAAGCGGGAAAAGAAAAGCCAAAAAATTAGAAAAGCCCGCTACCCTCCCTGCCCTAAGCATTTTCACGCATCTTTCATTCTCCTCACACTATTGTGCAACTTCTCAATCAAAGATCGAAGGTTACGATTTCATCTCCATCTCTCGACTTAATCATCTGAATCAAGAAAAAGGGCTTCTGATTTCCATTCATCTACTTCATCGTTGCTGTAATTTCACCTTCTTCATCTCTCTACTGTTATTGAGAATACTCGCCAATAGTTTTCTTATTCCCCACTCGATGTTGAAATTTTCAGAAAAAGCCCTAATTAAGTATTATACTCTCAAGTCTCAATATTAGAATCCAAATATTGATTCTCGTTTGTTTCTTATTCCCCACAGATAAATCGAAAAAGGGGAATTAGAATGACGAAGGTAGCGGGAGTTTTGGTCCGGTGGTCGTGGTTCATCTATCGAGAAAGGAAGATGAGAACGCAAGCAGCCATGGTGGCTCGATGATGGAAATCAATCGAGAAAGGGGAAGCACCTATGGTGCGGGATCGATTTGACAAAAGGAGAAGGAGAAACAGCGACGCTTCTCTTGTCTGCCACAGCTTGGGGGGGGGGGGGGGGGAGGTGCTCCGGCGGTCTCCTTGGCTGTTCTTCCTTGTCACCAGCAGATTACATGTAGGGAGGGGACTCAACTAGTCCGATGGAGTAGGGCAAGTAACGACTGGTAGATCAGGATGATCGATCTATTCATGAGGAGGAGGAGGAAATTATTGGTTCCCGGTGAGCCTTCCTTGGCTTCTTAGACTCCGTCATCGGTAGAAATCGGAGGACCTTTGGGGTTTGGATAGATCGAAGGAAGAAGAATGAAGAAGTGGTGGTCTTTGGTGATTGAAGGTAAACGGATGGGGTTTTCTTGAACCTCACAGGTCGTATTCTTTCTTAGATTTAATGCTTTCCATGAATCTTTTTTGGTGATTGAAGGTAAACGGATGAGATCGATTGATCTATATTATCAGCACCGAATTGACACTCGTGTGCCCATTGAAATCACGGTATGTTTGATTTCAGATTATTCATTTCATGTTTCTATTTCCTACTTAGCATCTGAGATTGGTTAATTTCTTTACTTGAAAGATGGGAGAAATGAAGAAATTAACTGGTGGAAGAAGGGAAGATAAAATACGTAGGATTATCAGAAGCTTCGGCTTCAACCATTAGAAGAGCCCATGCTGTGCACCCGATAACTGCTGTTCAACTAGAGTGGTCTTTATGGTCCAGGGATGTGGAAGATGAAATTGTTCCTACTTGCAGGTTATCATTATTCGAATTTTTTTAGTTTAAAGGCTAAATAATATAATATTTCAAACACTATATATAATCGTTTTGATCATGAATTGATAAACTAATAAAAGGATTCAAAGATGGCTGAGAATTTGGTAGGGGCGATTTTCGTCAGGTCTGCATAAAACAAATTGAATCAGATTCTTTATCAATTATAATATAAAATCATTAAACTGAGTTTGAGCTTGTGTTTATATATATATATATACTTGCTCTTTTTGTAGAATCTACCAAGGTTCCTACCTGAGAATCTGAGAATTGAGAATAATAAAATGTTGTACGAACGAGTTAGTGCGATTGCAGTAAAGAAAGGGTGCACTCCATCACAACTAGCATTGGCGTGGGTTCACCACCAGGGGAAAGATGTTGTGCCCATACCAGGAACCACTAAAATTGAAAACCTTCAGCAAAACATTGGAGCTTTATCTGTGAAACTAACACCACAAGACATGGCTGAACTTGAATCTCCACTGGGTAATTTCTTGTCCTTCCCAACTCCCAAGTCTTAGTTATGAACATGCTTATGGATGTTTGTTTGGACAAACATAACTTGGTCATTGATCCAATGTTCAACCGTCCATATAACTAATATTTCTGATGTTTAGTTGCTATATATTAACTCAGCTTCAATGACTCAGGTTTATGCTCTTACAAGAGAAAGGGATACACTACGTAGAGAGCAAAATAAAAGAAGTGATGCCACTGCGCTTTTAAAGGAAAAGGATGACATAATCACTCAAGTTATGGAAGAGGGTAATGAAATAGCTAACTGCTAGAAAAGAGGTTTCCCAAGTTCTAGATGAAGCTTTCAAAGACCACATTTTCTATACTACAGATGATGATGTTGTTCCTTTTTCATTCATATAGGTGAAAACCTTTCAAAGAAACAAGTTGTTCAAGAGTCTACAATAAGAAAACTATGGGCACAGGTATGTTATGTCATATACTATCTTTCCTTTGGACCCTATAAATATTTAGCTGTACATTCTCTTATTATTTGAACATTGTTTTGCGAGATCCCTAGATTAGAGAGTTTGAAGAAGAAAAGAAAGGATTTATAAGCAAGCTACAGGTAATTACTTCTACCCTGCGACTATATTTTTGTTCCACAAAATATTTTTACATACAGGCCATGAGTGTGGATGAATTACATCTAACAAATGTTTGTGGTTTTGGTTCTATTATTTTGGGCCACCACCTTTCTTTTCATCCCATTTAACATCAAAAATCTACTTTCCCCCTCATTCAAATACCAACTTATCTTTTTAAATTCTTTATGCTTCATCAGCAACCCAATATTATTCTATTAAAAAAATTATTATCTATTATTAGATTTTGTTCTATTAAAGATAACAAAAACAAAAAACTATTTATTAACTGCAAAAAAAAATTTAACTATTTTTTTCATATATGAAAATAAACTATAACTAGAACAAAAAATTCCGATTTTTTTTTGGATTGTACATGAAAATATGACAATAAAGTGATGACATAGCAAAGTTTCTTGTCTTGAATTTTTGACATATCATGATTTGAAAATTATATACATTATGAAGCTCTTTAAATGATAATAGCTAGCATTTCAGAACAGTGTTAGGTTACTTTTACCATTGACAAGGATCACAAGTAGAGTATAAGATGAATAACAGATAGTTCATCATACCCGAATTTTCTTCTTCTTTCTTGTTTCAATGTCCTGTCATATTTTTATCATTTCTTCTCTCATCATTAAATTTATTTAACTTTTTCAATAACTTTCAGGCTGAAGAGAACAAAGTGGAAAATTTGAAGAGTAAGAAAGCAGCCACAGAGAAACTGCTGCAAGAAACAATAGAGAAAAACCAGTCTGAAGTTGCAATACAAAAGGAATACTATCTGAATGCATTAAGTGTAGCCAAGGAAGCAAAAGCAGTAGCAGAGGCACGAGTAAAATGATGAAGCTAGAACTGAACTAGAGATTGGCCTAAAGGAGGCCAGGGAACGAGAATCTATGCTAATTCGAACTCTGGAAGAATTAAGACACACTCTGTGCAGAAAGGAGCAACAGGTTTTCGCTTAAAATACTTTAGTTGGTCCACATAAGAGGCTTTTTTTAGTACAACTTGTTTGTGCCACGTCATTGTCAACCCAACAACTAAAACACTGAACATATCTACAATAACAAAAACCTTTTTATGATTCCCATTAATTTTTATTATATATATATCTATCTTATTCTCTTTTATATAAATAGATATATTCGAAATTCAACCAAAAAAATTTAATAGTATAGAATTAAAATACAAGTTTTATATATTTTCTAAATTAAATTCTAATTTTCCACTTTTTAAAAATAAAATACTTATGTTTTAAATTAGATTAAAGTTAGTTTTCTAATATTTATGTATCTCCAAATGTTACTAAATTTCTAACACTTAAAATATAAAAAAAAAGCTTTTTGTCAGTTTAAGTATAATATATACTAGTTTACATTAAATTAAACAAAAAAGGAATTTTTACATGTAATTAATAAAATAAAAAGAATAAAAGATAAAGAAAAAACAATGAAAAACCTCCTATGTTTGATCTTGTAACTGCAGAAACCTGTGTGAACAAGATGTGGGTTTAAAATAGCTTTCTAATAGGAGATTTGATTTAGTCTAAAGCTTATTTGACCAAAAAGCTCCTAGTCTTGAAACAACTGCAACATTTGATCCCCAAACGGACAAGCTTTATACATATGATGATGAGCATTCTGCACTACTTCACAGGTATGAACTCATTATCATTATCATTACATTTTTTTAATTAAATTATCTTATTGAGAGTATTCTTCTCCTACAAATGTCTTGGTATACTTCTTCAGAAAGTTGATAACATGACTTATGTTCGTGATAAAATCGTCTGGATGTACAAACAAGCAAATAATCTAGATTTCAAGTATTCCAGCACCTTGATAATTATTACATTGCTATGTTTCACATTTAACCCTGTTTTCTAATATTGTTTTGGTTGAACATGTTATTCCTCAAATTTTAACAGATTCTTGAATTGTGACTCACCCCTGCAGCTTTCTGAATGCAGGCTTATTTTGGTGCTGGATTAAGTGGAGTTCTGGCTTGGTGTGTGCGAGTGGGAAGGAACCAACCCAATGCCCCGGAGTTCTGGCACCTTCCATCTTTACTTCCTATGTATCCAGGTTAATCTAATCGTATTAATTCATGTCTCAAAGTGTGTATTCCAATATCAGGTATCATGATTTGTGTATTTATAAAATTTTGAAATAGGGTCTTGTTCAATGCTTTAGCTGTGTTTGCTCTAAGGGAGATCAACTTATCAAAAGTAAGTTACTTTTTCACCCTTTTATTTAATATTTTTGTGATTGAATGAAAGTCTTAATGAAAGTAATTGACAACCCTTTCTTTGTAAATGATGTTGTGATTGTGGGAGAGGTGTTGTGTTTTTCTCTGTTGCTAGGTAACCTTCTCAACAACAACATTCTACTTAAGCAGGTGAGTAATCAAGATTAAGGGAGACTTGTAATCATGTTTGACATTCCTTTCCAGTAACAAACAGAGTTGTATGATTATTTGTTAGTTTTATAGGAATGTATAACCCATGTTAGCAATGTATTATTTTTGTTTAACATTTGAATGATTCTTTGTATGACATTATAATTTGTGCAATTTATTTTATTTTTTGAGTATGAAATTTTATTTTATATTATGCAATGGATTGTATTTTTTGTATATGGTATTTTATTTCTATTATGAGAAATTAAATGCAAATTTAATTTAAAAATTAATAAATATATAAATTTATTTTTTTTAAACATTTAAATTTACGATACGCAAAAATGTGTGTCGTCTTCATTTATGACATGGCCTTTCTTGACATGGGCTTTCTTGATACGCATTGCGTGTCATTAACACGCGCGTCGTAAGGTTACGACACGCGAATGCGTGTCGTTTCCTTTATGACACGGCCTTCCTTGATACACATTGTGTGTCGTAAACGCGCGTCATAATTGCGCGTCATAAATGAGCGTCATAAATGCGCGTCGTCTCTCTTTATGACAGGGCCTTCCTTGACACACATTTGCGCGTCGTCTGAGCCTTTTACGACGCGCAATGAGCGTCGTAAAATGCTGTTTTTGTAGTGGTGGCAACATAAAGAATAATCTGTTTTAAAATAAGAATAAATTAAATGTCTTTTCGGACCGTGAAATTAGGGATGTCACATATTCAATGCATAATAATAATAATAATAATAATAATAATAATAATAATAATAATAATAATAATAATACAAACATGCAATACTTCATACATGCATACATTTCAAAAAATACATTTATAAACATACATTTATAATTTATTCCTACTATAAAGTTCATGGTAGAAAATATGTTAAATTATTAGTGATATGTACCCTAAAATGGGTAGAAAAAACTCTATGCACTCATATTAAGAGGTTAAGATGGAGTTAACTTGAACCTTCACTTCCCTCTTGTTCTTCCTTGATTTTCAATCGACTCTTGTAGTTTATACTTATTTTGATACTATATTATGTGTCTATCTTTCAACTTACTAATTCAAATACCTTTTCACACATTATATCATACAACTTGTATACTTGTTTGAGTACAATTCTCATTGCTCATTATCTAATTATATATGATAGATGTTAACAATCTATCCAAGAATACTAATGATATAATTTTAACCTTCAACTATCAATCATTATTTTTATTACCTCTTTAAAGACATATTAAGCAGTGTCTAGTTTCCATTTTCATTCAACTCATAACACTCAATGTATATCAACCATTTTAATTTCTAGCATTTCAAGATATAGATTACCATGAACTACCATAATACCTAAATTTTGACTTAATGAAGTCAAACATGTAATCCACGATGACAATTCATATCATAATTATCATTTACCTTTAAATTATCATAACAAAATATTGATAACATACCATTAACATAGATGCTATCAAATTACCAATACGCAACTTAATCAATATCATTTATGTGATTCTTGATGTAACAATCACGTAAAACCATATTATAAGTGGTATGACAACCATTCCTAGTAGTTAGGATATGTTGAGTTTAAAGGGTTGCACCATTGGGCCTTAGTGGTTCGGTCCATTTTGTACTCGTGGTTTGGGTCTATCCAACCATGTTTAGTTTTAGGGTTTACTTATATATATAGTGCATGCATGCATTATATTTTTAACGCTTTTTGATTCTTTTCGATATCGAGTATTGTAACCCTAGCACATCTCTACAATAGCAATTCTCATTGAATTCTTCTGAGGTGGAGCATATTAATCATTCAACATACGTTTGATTCATCTTGTTGTTTAATTACTTGTCGTTGATTATTACTGTCTTATTGATATCTATTGAATCTATCGATCTTATAAAATTAATGCTTATCAATTGGTATCAGAGTAGGAGACTGTGTAATTCATACGCATCTCTTCAATTGGAAGAATCTGTTTAGGATTTCCGCTTTTATTGAATTTGCAGGAGCCGTCATTTCTTAATTGACGTTATTTCTTGCTTTTGATAAAACCCTAATTCAATATCTACAAGTTTGAATATTGCAGATATCTGTAAAAGTTCATCATGTCTCTCGATGATTCTCAAATCAATCCAATAAATATCTCCAACAACATTGGATCTACAACTAGGATTCCAATCCTATACACTGCCACACCCCGAAACCGATGGCGGAAACGTTCCGGGGCGGAGGACGTCATGTAAAGTATCACAACCAATGTACATAGCAAGCATAGTAAACACAACCATTACATTACATAGAAATATTTACATTTGTTTGAAATCAAAGTAATACATGTTTTATATATACATCAGTATGAACAAAAGTAAAGACGAGATTTCTATATGCTCCGTCTTCTCCAAAAGAACGCGGGATACCTATCTAACGAGAACCTGAGAATACAAGCAGTTTTAAAATATCAGCATACAGTTGGTGAGTTCATAAGTATGATTTGTTTCTGCTAAAAGAATAAGTTTCCTTTGGTTTTTATGAAAAGTTGTTTCCCAAGAAAATCTCATATTTTCTTACAAAAGTAGTTTGGTTATTCATTTGTTACACAACCTATTCATAAAAAGTAAAGTTATCCCAGGAAAAACCCTTATTTTCCTTAAAAGTTGGTGGTTGGTTATCGATCCGGAATGAAGTGTACAAGTATCTACCATACTTGTATCGTTAAGTGAAGTTTCCCTGAAAGCTTGGTTATCCTCAAAAAGTACATTAGTTTAAACACGTATATAAAACTAATAGGTAAGTAGTGAACTAAACCCTAAGGGTATTACTGATACCCTCTAGTAATCAAAACATTTATTACTTTGAGGTTAGTTCACTAGGTTCATTATTACTAAAAGTAAATCTCCATTATCTAAGTTGCGAGTTCCATAACCATATTATGAACTGGATGTGGTGCGTAACAGGGCCAATATCATTTATGACTTTTGTCACCCGTAGACGTGTTGGTCCCACTGTAGCTAGCATGAAGGTGCGGGGTAGTCAACCCCGTATAGATCTATACACTCAAGTCATGTTCTCCCTCCAGTAGATTCTGGTTACAGGAGCGGTCCTCCACTCGCGTATCTTCATGGAGTGTTACCGAGGACATGTCTCCAATCTTAAGAATAATGAATTTACAAGCTATAATATGGAAAAATCCTGTTTTATGAATAGCATGAAATCCTTTGTGAAATATAAAATATAACACTTTATAATGAGTTTCACAATTAGTTTGAAAACTAACTCTGCAAGTTAAACGGTTGGTAATACGGTTTTCTGTGTTAAAAGCATACTGAATATGTAACATTTCATACAAAATAAAAAGTTTGAGTACAAGATTCCCTTGTACTTTTGCTTGTATCCCCCTCTGAAAACATGGAAAACACCGA